TGATATGACTTCCTAAGAGGAATCATTGTATGGGATAAATCTTTAAAGTTAATAGGAGTTTGAGGATTAATTAGCTTAACCCATGAAGCTTCAATAGAGCAATACAGCAATATATGTAAAAATAATAATAATAATAATAATAACCTTTAAAATGTAATAATTAAAATTTTTATTCTCAGCCTTTTTTTATGAAAAATTCATGAAGATATGTTGAAATGTTTTTGAAATCACAATAATAACAATGGACAATATAAATGAAAAGACCGGAAAGACACAGGAGCTCTTTCAAGCTGGGCACCGTTTCAATCACAACACCTCAATGAGGAATCAGAAATACTTTAATAATCCCAGGGCGAAATTACTTTCATTACATTACCACATCTGTAATAGATATATACAATCTATATAATTAGGGGGTCCCCGCTCCATCTCGCCATCAGTTTGGGGGTCCTTGGCCTGGAAAACGTTGAGGACCCCTGACCTTAGGCAATGTGCAATTTGTTGTGGGGGAGCAGCTGGAGACTCTGACCACCGTGGCAGAGAGGAGGATGCTGTCCAGGTTTCAGTCCATCTTAGACAATGAGTCACATCCTCTCCACGACACACTGGTCCAGCAGACGAGCTCCTTCAGTAGAAGACTCCTCCTACCCAGATGCACCACAGAGCGCCACAGGAAATCATGCCTACCTGTGGTCATCAATCTCTATAACGCCTCCCTCAAGTGATTCAGACACCTGCCCTGTAACTGACATTTATGCACTATTTTTGCACGCCGCGTATCACTTTACTTGGAATTATTACTTAAGTTGGATTTAGTTTTACGTATGTATATATATATATATATATATATATATATATATATATATATATATATATATATATAAAACTGTAACTGGAGCGTGTAACAAAAGTAATTTCTCTCTGGGATTATTAAAGTATTTCTGATTCTGATGTGCAATTTTTTAAGGGGCTGATTAACGGGCTGGGTTTGTGTAAATTACCATGAGCCGTCCTCATAATACCTATTTCCATATGTTGCTCAGATATATAAAATACCTTAAACACATCCTTAAACATTCACATCAAACCTCAGTTTCATTTGAGGAGCTGATTTCCAAGTGGAATTATATCTATGACTGCATGGGCAACAGTAGCGTCGGATTCCCTGCAACAACAAGGTTGTCAGTTCAAGCCCCAGCTCCAACATTCACTGTCATTGTGTCCTTGGGCAACACACTTTACCTGCATTGCCCACTGATGGTGGACAGGGGGTCTGCTGGCACCTCACTTCTGTAGGTGAGCCTCAGGGCAGCTGTGGCTATAGTGTAGCTTCCTACCATTAGTGTGTGGGTGAATGACTGAATGTAGTGTAAAGGGCTCTGGTCAAGTCTCCTGACTTGAAAAAGAGCTATAAAAGTAAAGGCCATTTACCATTCCATATTACCGATACAATCAGTAAATGTCACATTTACTTTATTGAAGGTCCCATAATAAAAACAATGAGGCCCCCAGAGCATGTTTTGTTATTTGTTCAGGATAATCTCTCTGAGATTAGGCCGACAGTGTGAATCAAAAACTGGACGAGCCTTTTTGGCTTACCACACACAGTCCTCCCAAAGTCTGCACCCCTATAACCCGCAATCATGACAACCAGTCGGAGTTCATAAAGGTAGAGGCAAAAAGCATGGAGCAATGCATTAGATGAAGGCTGTAGCTGATTTCCCCTTATGACATCATAAGGAGAATGCTTTTCAAAGGGAGTATTTTGAGCACAGATTAGCTAAGAGTAGAGAAAGGCAATGACAGAAATATAAGGGATTTTTTTTATTTGTGAGCCTCATACACAGGCATCAGGACACATATGACTTTTAAAAAATATTTTTAATATGAGTTTTGTATAATATGGGACCTTTAATAGAAAGCTTTGCATGGAATTGTGATGTGCAAAGATGTCTCACATATGAAGCATTGGCCGGCTCAGCTTGACTCAGGAATCCTTTATAGCTATTATTATAATAATTATAACCATTCCAAAAAATAGTTGCATTGTGAACATATTTTAAGCAGGCTTTGTTTTTTTATTTTATTTATTTCTTTTGACTTCTTCTAAACATCTTAAAACAAAACAGGTACGAGTCAAAATGCCTCTTTACTTTCAGTCAGTTTCCTTCTTCATGCTGATGGTACTCAATAAGTTGGTAGTCGGCTGTAATAAATCTCCCTGACGCTTGTTGACAAAGTCTCTCTGTGATGGCCTACAGTATCGTTGCCATAGTTATTTTGACAAGCAGTGGGTGCATTCAGGGTATTTATACTGATTTTGATATGTATTTAGGGGTGGGGATGGAGTAAGCCATCCTAAAGTATGAACTTTGTAAACTCCTATGCAAGAAGCCCTGGTTCTTCAGAGTGAAATAAATATTTTGACTCAGACATTCTCCTAAATGTTTGTGTCATAATTCATTTCAATGTGGGGAAAAAATGGCACTGAGGAGACCCCATTTGTTCTGTGCAAATTTCTTAGCAGCAGGTCTGTGTCGTGTTTTGAAATTAAAAGGAGAAAACACAGGTTTACAAACATTCCCACTTCATTAAAGGTTTTATTATTTTGTTTGTTGGTTTTTAATGGGACAAATTTAATAAAATATTTAAGTAATTAGTAAATTAATTTAAATTTGTTCCCAGCTCCCTTAACATCTTTGTTTGCTGCTTTGAGGATCATAGAAGATACACTCCCAAAATTGGTCATGGATTTTTTTTTTTTTTTTTAAATAGCTTAGTGGCCAGTAACAATAGTTGATGATTTGTTAAGTTACTCTCTTGTTCTCTAGAGCAGCGGTCCCCAACCTTTTTTGCGCAACGGACCAGTTATATGTCAGATAATATTTTCACGGACCGCCCTTTAGAGTGTGTGGGTAAATACGATCAAATAAAATGATACGACTGGCATAAAATCAAATACAAACAGCATAAAAATAAAACTCACCATTATGTTGAATTAGTGGGAGCCCTGAGCTTATTTCTCCGAAACAAACCGGTCCCATCTAAGCATAATCGGAGACTATGACACTTAAAGTGTGCTCCTGATGTCAATACTGCTCCGTAGATTTGGTTTGGTTGCTGAAACCGCAGAAAATCCCGCTTCACAAAGATAGGATGTTATAGATAGGATGAGTCTTGACCTGAATTAACCTGTGTCAAGAGGCACAGATGCACCGACTGATGTAATTGGGAGAGAATACCCTAATGTTTCGTGTTTTTCAAAATAAAACATCACTCAGACTCTGATCGTCGATAAATTATATATATATATATATATATATATATATATATATATATGTGCGGCCGGTAACAAATGACCGACGGACCGGTTCCGGTCCGCGGCCCGGTGGTTGGGGACCGCTGCTCTAGAGCTTCTACTTTAGATATAACATCAAAAATGTTTTTTTTTTCCCAGAATAACCCCAAACCCTGCTAACACTGGAGGGGAACCAGACCTTCACTTCATTTCTTTGAAGACGTTTAGACACCTATACAGGTGTATACTGTAGGTCAGTTTGGTTTATATGCATCAGAGGAATCTATAGTTGGAACGTTGAGGTGATTAATCAGCATGGAGGTCCAACATCCTAAGTACATTTCAAGTCAGAAGCAAATCAAATGGCCACTCCTTGTCCTTCTGGACAACAAGAAAAACTCAAGAAATACAGTATAAATACAGACATTTCTTGAGTTATATATCATTTTTAGTTTTTTTTTTTTTTTTTTGTGGTGCCAATGAATGTGGCAGCAATCACGTAAGAAAAACAAAACATCTTATTATCCACTTAGGATGAAAAATTGTAGTGAATTTATTTTAGGATTTTTTTTTTTTTCTCAAGTGAGGAATATGAAATTATGCAGCTTCTACGGTAATGAATTTTAATTTATTTAAAATCTTGCAATCAAAGCCACTTTTTAAACACATTTTCTGTGTTTGCATCGATGCTTCTGGTTTCCTCATATCTCAGTTCATGAATATTTACTCTCTGATGATTACCTTTAACCAAAACCAGCAAACTATCACATCCCAACTCCTCCTATGCCTGGGTGTTTTTTCTGTCAGACCCCATGTTAGTGTAGAAAGAGGTAGAAAAACTTCAGGCAGCTCTGCTTTTTATGCTATATATTACATTTTATATTAGTTGAGTGTTAGAAACTCCCATGTAGGAATTATTGCGATTTGAAATATTCTGCTTAGTGTAGGATTTAGGCATTTTCCATGTTTTATTGTTCACAGTCATGTACAGTAAGCAGCTTAGTGCTTCACACATAGCAATGAAAATCAGGCTTGGTCATATAAGAGTATTTGTGTACACCTCTGCACAAGTACATTTGCCAACGCTGTTTGGAATGACGATACAAATCCTTGTCAGCTTAGATTGCATTTGGATTTTAACCTCATACCCCACATTATCCATCAAGCCCTGAGCAAGGAGATCAAATATGAAAATAACAGAGCATCCATTATGCTTGATAAAAATAAAAAATAAAAACCTTATAGAGATGTACCTAACATGGCTGAAATATATATTTTTATATAAATTCTTAAAACTTTCTTTACAAGATGTAAAAACAAAAACAAAATTTCTCTGTTTAGGATCAGTGCATGGGGAGTTTACTCAAACACTGCAAAAACGATCTAGAAATAAGTAAAAATATCCTTAATTAAGTGTATTCACCCTTAATTGGAGTAGGTAAATGAGATAGTTTGCCAAAGGAACGAGTAATTTTACTCTTAAAATAAGATAATTAGATAAAATGCACTTTAAATAAGACAATGCAATAGTGTTTTCTTATTTTAAGTGTAAATTGTCTTGTTCCATTGGCAGAATGTTTCTTTTACCTCCTTAATTCAAGAACAAATGCATTTATTTTAAGAAAAAAATGACTTATCTAGTTTTCGATTTTTTGCAGTGAAGTTAATGCTTTCCAATTTTTCTATCTCTTTGTTGCTACAGAAACCCCTCTGAAGGAAGGTGAGGAAGCAGCATCTTCATCAGACTCTGCCTCTGATCCCTCCTCCTCGCTGTTCAATCACTGGGGACGTGACCTTGGCCCAGAGAGTCGACGGGTTGCCCTCAAAAAGTTCCGTTACTTTGGATACAACGGCTACCTGAGCGACCGCATTTCCCTCACCAGGCCCATTCCTGATTTACGACCAGACGGGTCAGTCCTCTATGGGGTCGGGCATTTTATGAATTTAAACAATTCTGTTTCTGATTCCAAAGTCTAGATCATTTTAAGAGAAAGATCAGGATAAAAGGATGAAATAGTCTGAACTTCTCAATGAATTTGTTTCTTTTAAATTTGTGATATTACTATAAATTATCATATACATATTTTGTACCCAGGTATAAATATCACTCCTAGGAACTATAACATAATCTTATGAATTTTTACTTTAACATCAAGCTTTCTTTTCAAAGTGTCTGATGCTGCAGATACTCATGCCGTAAAAAGGCCAGAACATACCAAATCCAATTTGCATCCGATCCAACATAAAATCGTGTTGGACTAGGTCGTTGCGCATAGCACTCATTGTAAGTCGATGGGGATGATCACACCCGACATGATTTTATGCAAGGAGACTGCATAGGTTAGACTGAGATAGACCCCAGGTCTATTTCCGTCGGACTACGCAGCAATTCAGCAGCAATTTCATGGGTCTGACAGGAAGAGAGATGCGGTTATAAATTAATACACATCTGCTTTGAGGAAAAATACAAAATAAATCTGTTAACACCTTGGAGAAAGAGTCAGTTTTGGAGTCGCACATCATGTACATAGCAGGCGGGACAGACTCATGCAAAAAGAGTAAAATGAAATATTAAAAAAGAATACATTAGCCATGAGATGAGTTAAGGAGGACAGAAAACAGATAAAGTAGTGATCCTCTTTGAGCCTCACAAAAACAAAATAACAGGGGCAGACAGATCCGGTAAGCGCGACATATCTCTCTCACCTTTTTTTGTCAAAAAGGGAGTGAAAAACTTTGATAAACTTCTCAGATCTCTCTGAGATTCACCTCTCTGCCTCAGTCAGCATACAGTATAATGTCAATACGTTTTTGCTATAGACATATGAACAGTCTGGTTTGAGATGCGGCACAAACTGGTTAATTGAGGATTTGCTTTATAGAATGTGCTGGTGTTTTTTTTTTTTTTATAACTTTTTATATTCTGTCCAAGTCAAATGTGGGAACTTGTTTCAACTTATGCATAGCACAGAGACACATATATATATAAAAAAAAGAATACCTGCAGATCTGCCCACTGTGCCTAGTCAGAGCCTCTCTATACGCAGTCTGTGCAACATGGAAAAAAATCGGATTGGAGATTAAAAAGTCATACAGTATGCAACCGGTGTTTTCAGACCTTTAGAGGATTGTATTAAGTTATGTACCCGATTCTGACTGCGATTCTGGGCTGATTGTCGGGGCTAAAGAAAAAGCAATGTGTTGTTCTAAGGAAGGTATCTCTACAGAATTTATATCTTTACCACAGACTTTCATTAGGCCACCATTCCACTCAACTAGACCTAAAGGTGATATTTTGCATTTGTGGATGGATGAATGAGGACTTCCTACTCTGTCTTTCAGTTAGTTCTTTTTATCAAATGAAACAGTTTCCAAATTAAACTAAAAAAAGGTCTTGGAGAGTGCAGACCTCTGCCAACTAGTTTGTTTCCTGTAACATCGTGACTTCCAACTTAATACCTGTATTCACAGAACCTTGGAAAGAAAATTGCTGGATCCAGATGATGATCAGGATCATTACCAAGATGTGATCATTTGTTTCCAGTCACAATACACACCTTCTCTGAAAATGTCAACAAAATCTGTTTATAACTTTTTTTTAGTTATTTTATAAACAGAAATACAAACTAATGCCAATTAAAAGATAATGAAATAAACAATGCATATGGACTCATTGAAATACCTTGAAATTCAAAATTTAAAGTCAGGCGTGTAATGGGGGACAGAAGAAGAACTCTTTACTTTTGTAACATACAAAAAAAAGCATTTTCATGGGAAAAAAATGAGAATAATGTAATTACCAAAATCGATCACTTGCCTGATATAGTAATAAACATTCCAAACTGTGCTTCTATAAAAAAAAAAACATGCAAAACACTTGAAGATTGAAAGAAATACATGTTTGGTAAAAAAATAAATTTCAGAACATTAGTACAAACATAGGCACTAAGAATTTTTACTTTTAAATTTAGCTATCAGGGTTTTTACTTAGCTTGTGAGTATTTTAACTTATTAACATAATAACTTATTACTTTTTTTACTAACATTTTTGTAACATATCCCACAACAGCAGGCAACATTAGACTGTCCTTTGTTGCCTTCTTCATCCGTATCATCATCCTCCTCATCATGGAGCACATCCTCTGCATGTTGCATGCTTCTCCTCCTAGAAAAGGGGCCGTCTCACTTGTTCCTTGAATTTCCAGGTTATAGGTGGATGGGACATCGTCTGGGTCTCACACAAATCGTCATCATCTTCTGATCATCCCTGATGACAGGGTGGGCTGGCATAACAATCTCCCTGCATTAGCGGTAAAACAGCTGGATAGAGAGCTGGCAAAACTAACTGTAACTGCAAACAACTGTTATTAAACTATAAAAGTGACAAAAAATAAGCATATACTGACATCACAAACTGAAAAAAAATGGCCAATTTCACTGCAATAAAGCATAAACAGATTTTTTAAAACTGTTATTGGATCATAAAACTGACAAAAATCACCCATATTTACTACAATAACACATAAAACAACTGCTATTAGATTAGAAAAATCATCCATATTTAGGACTTATACCATGAAGATTTATAGAAATTGAATAAACATGTTATTGAAACAGGTATGGTGATATACAAACCCTTGGAAACTTTCAATTTAATGTTTGTCACGGTTGGGTTGAGGTTTTGAGGACCCAAATGCAGAGCTGAGGAGGTAGAGGTGAGTTTTGCAGATTTAATGAAGCACTCACAGGCAACTGAGGCAGGAATCCAAAAATCAAACATAACAAATACAGAAAAAAACAGAACCTTGGAGACATCAGGGAAAACTTACATGAGTTTACCCAAATTTTTGCACCTATCAAGTTTTGTTTTAACGCATATTGCACATTTTCTGTTGGTCAAATAAACCTCAATTTAATACTGAAATATTACTGTGTCAATCAGTATTAGATATATCAAACTGAAATAGCTGTTACAAACACCCTAATATTTAGAAATAAAAATAGTTAAGATTTATTGGGGTTTCCAAACTTTTCATATGACTGTAGAGGAGCCAGAAGGACTCCATATGTTGGTAGTGTGTAACTTGCAAGTTACCAAAAACGGTAATTTGCCAGATAAAGAGTTAAAAATATTAATAATTCTGAAAAATAAAATGTTAAGTGATTTTAATTCTATCAACATTTTGGCAATGAGGAAGGTAACTGTTAAAATGTAATGTAAAAAGAAGACAGGATTTAAAGAAAAGCTATCCCTGCAGAAGGTGCACTAAAAATGCAGGGAGGAACAAATTCCATTGGGGAACCTTCCGTAGACAAATGCAGCAGGTTAAAGAGGAAGCTATCATCCTGAGTCCAGTTGTGTTTAATTACGTTTGCCGTCCTTTGCCACTGCACAAACATTTGGTTCCACACATAGTCCGGCGATTCTTCAGCACCTGTGTTGAGTGCTTTTTTCTTTAGGTTTGCCAATAAAGCATTGAAATTAGTAATAAAAATAAGAAAAAACTTTGGAATGAATCGGTTTAAGGTTGCAGTTTATTCTCAGTGCCTTAAACGTCTTTCATTCCTTAAAATGTGCTGTTATTCATATATATATAGGCCTCTAACGTTCCCTTTTTCTTCTCTTCAGATGCAGAAACATGTCCTATTCTTCAGACCTTCCTCAGCTCGGTGTGATCTTCATCTTCGTCAATGAGGCCCTTTCAGTTTTATTACGCTCTATTCACACTGTCATCCAGAGGACACCACCCTACCTTCTGAAGGAGATCATACTAGTGGATGACAACAGTAACAGCTGTAAGAATCCTACCTTTAATCTACAGTATACTATTTCACCTATTGTCAGAAACCTAAACCTTGGACCCAGACAGACTGACGTGTTTGATAATAGTGTTTATTGACTGCTCGACAAATCTGCGACAGCAGCTGAAACAAAAAGGCCAGAATCTCTGTAGAGGGAACAACACAGGTTAGTGATCACAAAACTCTGACGGAGGGAGATTACGAGCTTGTGAGTCGCTAACCTGGTTATAAAGTTCAGTCCGAGCCCAGAGGAAGAAGTAGAATCCGGCCTGATGATTTCACACAGCACAATACAGAATACAGATACAGAATACCTGGAGTCAATGCCAGAAGGTTGCAGATTTGACTGTTGAGCAGGAGCCAGCATACGATGGAGAGAAGCCAGAGGGAGACACCAAAGCTGTTGACAGTGAGGTAAACAGATGTCCAGGCCAGAAGTTTAGAGAGCTGAAGAGGTACCGTAGGGAAATCCAAGCTGGGATCAGTAGACAGATCCAAGGTCGTAAGCAGGCAGAATCCAACAGCAGCCTGGAGACTGATCAAGCACACAGATCAAACAGGGGCAGGTTGGTTTAAAGGTCCAAAGGTAGAAACTAGTCAGGATCAGGTTATCAGAGCAAACAAACTGGGCACTCTAAAGAACTCTCACCTACAGCTCGAATAAGTTGGCACTGATGGCTGGGACCAAACAGTTTAAGTAGAAGCTGAACAGGTGGATCTGATGAAAGGTAGTGAAAACTGGGCAGAGCTTGGCAGGTGGAATTATCCAGTCATCAGTGCCAAGATCATGACACCTATAACATCATTTCTGCTTCAAAGATTAGATTAAAGAATAGATCAGATATACATCCAGTCCACTTTGGGACCTATTTTGCTTCTCACAAAAGGATGTTTTCTATTTGGATAACTTGTTTCAGCTTTTAAGACTTTTTGTCTTAAAAACAATTTTTAGTTGGTCTACAGCCAATATCTCTTAGCTGACGTGGATTTATTGCACCACTTTATACGCAGCCCATGCTCCTGTACTTGAGGGTGGTGAAGGATGAGTTATTCTTCCATCTTGTACCGTGATATCTGTGTAGTCTCAGATTTCCCTTGAGAAACTGGCAGGAATAGTAAATAATGATGCAGACTGTCTTTCCCAAAATGAGATGGATAGAAATGTGGGAATTTTTTGGAAAAACTTTGTCTTTTGAAGTGCTGGATTTTTGTTTTCCCCTTCAGTTTTCATCGTAGTAAAATTCAAACCTCATTGATATTCACAGAAATGAATTTCACTGCCTGCAGAAAGCCATCATGCCTCACAATCTTTTGGTTCAGTGCCCACTATCCTGACAGCCCACACAGCACAGTCATCTGTGTGAAAGTGGTGCCTTAGTAAGAAAACAGTTACCTTGCAATTAGAAAGAAAGTAATGTTACATAACTATTTTAATCTATTGAAAGAATAAAAATGGATTAAAACTTTTATATAGTCTATTAATACAGCTCCAATTCAGAACGTATGTCATCAAGGCACTTTTTTCAATTTAAAACTACTTTAACGATCCCAAAGGGAAACTAAATGCTGTTACTCACAAAGTTCTTAATGAGCTGCTCTGTTGATAGCTGTAGGCAGGAAGGATCTTCTGTAGCAGTCTGTACTTCGCTGGATCTGGAGAAGCATCTGACTGAAGACACTCTGTTTTTTAACAATCTGATGATGAGGATGCTCACTGTTGTCCATGATGTTCTTCACTTTATGAAGTGTTTGTTCCTAAAACAAAGCTGGCCTTCTTTATCAGCTTGTGGAGCTTCTTTCAGTCATTTGCTCTGATGCTGTTACTGCATCAGATGATGGCAGAAGAGACACGCTGTACACAACAGATTTAGAGAATGTAAGAACCATCAAAAGTACCGTAATCTCTGCCCCACATTGTAGACAACCTACAGTTGCATCTCCAGTGGAGCAGTTGAAGAATCACTTTGAACGATAGATTGGTGCCTCGTTTGTAAGTTCTGAAAGAGGAGCTGAGGATGAAAATTTATAGCCTGGGTGCCATTCTGAACTTAGTCCCGCCCACAAGGTTTGAGGTCGGGGAAGTACGGTCTGGCTCTGCTCCATAGTAGCGCGAGTATTAAAGCCCACTGTCAGGCGATCCAATCAAATTGTCAGGGCGGGCTTTATACGATGATGGACAGATGATCAACCACGTTATCAACCACGTGACCAATGCACGCTTGGGTGACAACAATAATGG